GGGCTGAATTGCACAAAACGCATGATCGCACCGGCTAGTCTGGTGCGCGTTGCCATTTATTTCCTTACAATCTTTCATAGGCATATACCAACTCGAATCAAAATTAAAATACATATGTTTATAATTATATGCATTAACTAAAGTAACACAGTATAAAATTAGATAGGAAAAACAATACTAAAGGAGTGGTGAGGTTCCGGGGAGCCAAAGCTTTCAAAAACAAAGATAAGTCGAAAGGAGTAGCTCTCTCGAGTGACTCTGGAAATAGCTCTGAATACCGGGGATGGGAAGGAGTGCTTTTATACCTCAGGGATCAGAGATTACTAAGATTGCAAAACTTAAACTGGGAGTAGGGTATCTAAAGCTTGAACCGGGGACCGGGATATTGCATCATAGTGGCGAATTTTCTTTACGCTATTTTTAATAAAAAACCATAAATCATTATTTGACATATTAAATCTCCGTGCTTCGAAGTAAACATGTGAATTTAGTAATTTGAAAAAATACAAAGCTATTCACGATCTCGAATAAGGTAGAAGAATGTGCATAAAAGTGTTTTTTACTGCCCGTCACGCGTTAGGCCAGCAGGCATGGCACTGTTATTGTTCAGTAAGTTAGAGGTTCGACTCTGCCAGTGGGGCAACCACTTCCTCTACAATTAGTTTTGATGATAAATTGATACTGGCATATGCCAGGGAGTCAAACTCGCCATCAGCTTGCTTGTAAGCAATCCTTGGAAGAGGAAGCCATCGATAGTTTTGCCAGCGAATGGTTGCTGTTGGCATTTGCTACTACTCAGACTATTTCCTGAATGCTTCGGCTTCTCAGTGAGGGCGAAATACAGCAGGGCTTTGACATCTGGTTTTTTTGATCGCCTGTTCAGTGTTTGAAGCCTCCCAGTTGGTCATTTCTTTTCCTTCAGTCTGTGTTATTATCAGAAACATTATTATTATAAATTTTACATCCGTCTTTCTGTCAGATTCATTCTCTAGTTTGAGCAAACTAAAAAATTTGTTCCATTTATTAAATTAAAATTCAAAACACTCTTTATATTACAAGGATTAAAATCGTGATGGAATAATAATAATGAAAATAATAACAATAGCAATAATACTAGTAATGATAATAATAAGAATAATGGTAATAATAATAACAATGATAATAATAATGAGAACAATATTCATAAACGAAGCTAATAATAAAAATCATAATCGAATGATAACAGTATAGTGCAGGTGTATGATAGAATAATGATGATATTAATTATAATAATAGTAATCTTAGTAAAACTAATAGCAATAATAACAACAATAACTGTGATAATAATAACGTTAATAATAATATTGACAACAATAATAATGATGGTTGATTTGGGAAAATTTAGTACAAAACATGGAAAAAAGCTTCCTCTGTTTTTACTTTCGCTGTAAGGCTGGGCACTCGGAAAGTTAACTCGGTTAATTGCAAATGCCAATAGCAACCACTCGCCGGCAAGGCTCTCGATGGCTCCTGTTTATGAGAGTTTCTTACAAGCAAGTTTTTGGCGGATGCGTAAAGTATTTCCGGAATATACAGCCATACTTTTTGCAGGATAGCGGTGGTTCATCGGTCCGTCGATATCGCTTAAATGCATTACGTGATCGAATGACCAGTGAATTCGGCGGTGGCCGTGCTTTCCTGAATATCAGTGCCGGGAGCTGTGCCGACGATGAGGCGGGCTCGGCCAGCGAAAGTGCTTCGCTTGCATCCTGGGGACGTAATCTACTCCTTCAGGCTCAGTACAGTGCCGTAAAACCAGTTTATCCAGCAGACACGATCAGTACGAAAGCATTTTCCAGTAACCAGAACCTGACCAAGTATGCTTGCTTCAGTTTTGCGCTTCAGAACAGTGGATTACTCGGGGATTTGGCCACAAACAAAGCCCATTACCCATCCTCGTTTTAGTATTTTAAGTTTACTTTTCATGCGTTTTTTGCATCTGTGCAATGCAGAAAACACATATTGAAGAGGGCTTGTCTGTGTGTGCCTATGTGTTCGTTTGTATCGATTTTTCATCGAGACCTACAAAAGCTACAGAGCTGAAAATTTGGGAACTTAATCTACATGCATGTACGGGCTCCCTTCCCCAAAATCGGCCCTATTGCCCCCGTTGTACCCACGTATGGGCCAGCCAAAAAGCTGCTTATTCGATAACTAGAGAAGCTGGAAAGCTCAAATTTTAAAGAGATGCTCCCCGTCCACGTTGGTGTTGATGAGCTCAAACCCAGCTCCTGGGTATTTGTGGTTCCCGCGTAAGTTTTACGGGTAAGTTGTTAACTCGGAAACCTGAGAAGCTAAAAGAGTGGATTTTTAAGGGGATGTTCCCCGCTCACGTAGGTACTAATGAGTTCAAACCCAGCCCCCGAATATGCGTAGTTTCTGTGCACGGGCCCGTGAATTTTCTTGCGGGTAAGTTGCTAACTCGGAAATCAGGAAATTTAGAAAGCTGAAATTTTAAAGGGTTGTTTTCTGACAGTCCTGACGGCCAGTCTCAGTTCTTTTAATTGGAAGCATTTGTGGGAGAACAGTGCGGTTAGCGACAGAATTTTGCGGGGAACTGTGCAAAATACGCATCTTCGCACCGGCAGTCGGTGCGCCGGCCATTTATTAAGTTATGGCAACTTTGCCAAATTCTTTATTATTAAAATTATTATTCTTGTTTTTGTTATTATCATTTCTATTAGTACTGCTCCTATCATTATTACTTTCATTACCACTATCATCCAGAAACAAATGTTCGTACTTTTCAACCAATTTCAGTAGATTCCAAGATGATTTTTGCATTCTTTTCGGCCAGTTTCCCCTTTTTTTTTAACTCACTGTTTCTATTTGGCCGAATTTTTCATATCTGAATGTCTGAAATATCTGAAGAAAAAAAAGTTTTACTTTAAGTAGGGTGCTTCTCATCTCTGTACCTGGCGATTTTGTAGTTGCTGTGGTCAGTGCTGCCTCTTGTGATGGTCATCTCGCTCACTGTGCTGTGATTCGTTTCATCATTCAGCCACGGATTAGTGGATCAGTAGTTCTCCTCATTGAATTATCTGGCAAGGTTTAGCATCTGGTGTGTATGTGTGTGTGTATGTGTGTGTATGTGTGTGTGTATGTGTGTGTATGTGTGTGTGTATGTGTGTGTGTGTGTGTGTGCGTGTGTGTGTATGTGTGTGTATGTGTGTGTATGTGTATGTGTGTGTGTATGTGTGTGTGTGTGTGCGTGTGTGTGTGTGTGTGTGTGTGTGTGATGAATTACATCGCTCTTAGCTTGTCACTCCTAAACCACAGCGAGTTGCCTGGCCAGCTCGGACCGGTTCTTCCATAAGTAGAAGTTCTTTGCCGTCGATGCCGTTTTTTTTTTTTTTTGCATTTTTCCGAATAGTCAGAAATTTCGTGATTCATCATAAAATTCACTTTATTCTGATCAAGTTTTGTTTTTTTTTTTTTCAGCGGTATGTCATCGGTGCCGTGCAAAGACATTGTGAAGAATGATGAGAATATTGCGCAGAGCACCCAGTTGCCAGCTCCTCCTCGTCCTCCGCCACCGTTACCCAGAACTCCGGGCTATCAGCAGATTGTCTCAGGCGTGAAGCTTCCACCACCCAACAGCATTCCACCTCCCTTA